ATGACAGTTTCAAGACCAGATCAAGTAGTTCTATGCAGAAGACGCGATGAGGGTGTTGCATAATCAAGTGGAGGAGAATGTCATGCTCTGGGCGGGCGCACTAGTCGCACAGGCCCGAGCACCTGGGGTTAAGGCTCGAGCATCAAAGACATTGGCTGAGGTTCATGTACTAGGCCTTGGATAAAAGTTCAGACTACCCGTACAGCATACAGGCCTACCCATACAACCAACAGGATGCCTACATCGCACTTAGAATGGCCCAAAAGAGTAAGAGTGATCCAAGATCTTCCAAAAGTAACTAAGATCGGTAGGAGCCTTCAGCAGGATTTTGTTGATCCTAAAAATCAAGAAAAGCCTTTTGTATTAATGTGTAATCTATGTAATCCCTAATTTTTAAGAGATATTACAATCCTATTATTTTATGAGATTGCCATAAGTAGAGTTGTGGGCCTCAACTATAAATAGAGGGTCACCCCACCCTCATTTGGACATCATCAAACACATTACTTCAATAATATACAATGCATATTTTAATAATTCTCTTGCTCTCTCAAACTTGCGTATTCTATCCTTCCAATTATTTTAGTGCTTGCACGCTTATGTTTTAGGCTGATTTAGGCTAAAAGAAGATGATTCTAAGCCTAAAGTCACATAAATTCTAAGTTTTAAGTTAAAGCTTGTGACACAGGGCCTAGTTTACAATAGTTACAATAACAAGCAACAAGGGGCTGAACACTGAGACACATAGAGGACCTCTTTTTTGGATATTTCAAGTAATTGCATTACACACGATCCCCTAAAATGAAGACATTTTTTTTCTTCTCAATCAGCTCATGGTCGATTACTCAAATTGTTATTAATTTTTTAACCAAGCCATGCTTACCACATAAAGAGCTGCAATAAGCCTCATGCCGGAGCTCAATGACCAAGCAAAAATTTTATGATAAAAAATATGCCTATGATTAATGTATACTAAATGCTGGCCATTATGCACATTAGAGTAGTGCATGAATAGCTCTTTTTGGTTGACTAATTCTCCTGAGAGCTAAGCCAAAGGAGGTTGTTTTTTAGAAGATAATTTCATGGGTTAGCACTCAAAAGCCTTAAAAAAGGGGTCGCACCATTCTCTTTCGAGAAATAAAGTCAAAATAATGAACTCATGAATTGAGAGGTGAGAGAAGCACGAAAGTAACGGTGATATTAGTATCGACAAATCAACCCGAAATCGTCGAATTTTGACTCGACCCGATCATTTAGGGTCAGATTTTTTTTGAAAAAATAAATTTCAGGTCGAGTCGGGTCAATTTTATTTTTTTTGAAAGGCGATTTCAGGTCGAGGTCAAGTTTATATGAAACCCGACTCAACCCAGGATATTTATAAAAATACCTTTGCTAGATATATGTAATTTTTTTTAGGATTTTTCATTTTTTTCTGCAATTCTGCCTCCTACCCGTCCGATCTCCTCACATAATCAGACCCTGCACCTCATTTTTTTCTTCACTTCATTTTTTCTGTATTTTTGCCTCCTACCCGTCCGATCTCCTCACATAGCCAGACCCTACACCTCATTTCTTTCTCCACTTCATTTCTTCCTCAATTCACTTCCTCTATTTTAGAAAAGAAAGCATCCAGATTTTAGGGTTTTTAATTTCTTTCTACAGTTCTGCCTTCTGCGTGCCTAATCTCTTCACATAGCCAGACCCTGCACCTTATTTTCTTTTTCACTTCATTTCTTCCTCAATTCGCTTCCTCTATTTCAGCAAAAAAAGCATCCGAATTTTAAGTCATAAAGAAAAAAGTTAAGCTTTAAAGGCAGTTACAGATCTAGTTATAGTTTCCCACATTCGAACCATCATGTATGTTTTTTCTTTCTTTCTTTTTTTTTAATAGTTGAAAAATAATTTTTTTTTAATTTGAGCTGATTCAGGTTATTTTTTTACATACATTATTTTTTTTTATCATCGTTCTTTGTCACCTGTGTACGCAGCAGAGAAACCCAAAGACAATTCGGGTCAGGTCGGGTAAAATTTGGGTAATAATATGCTTAGTGGGTCAGGTATTTCAACTACAACCTTCGAACGGATGCGGGTCGGGTATCGAGTAAAACTATAGAGGCTTCAGGTCGGAGGCATGGGTAGCAAAAAACTGATTTGCCTCATCCTGTTGCCAACCTTAGGTGATATTTTAAAAAAATTACTTAAATTCAACTAGCATTTCTCTTTTTTTTTTTTTCAATACTATACTATTACTGATGTTTGTTGCCAACAACTACCATTCAAAATTGAACCTTATGATAAATAAGTGTAACTAGTTCCTAGGTTCCAACTTCAAAAGGCCTTACATATTACATACTAGCATTAGTTTTTATTCCTTTGAGCCCAAATTCAGAACTTCTTAAGCCCGTTAGCCTATAGCTTAGCCTCATGACAAAATGAAACTACATCTTTTTCTCTGTCTGTGATTCAAAATGACTTGCCCTAAAGTTACTTAGTCCACTCTCGCAAAAACGCCCATTAGGTCTATGAGCAATGGCCCTACTTTGAATTCCCATGGGCTTTGGCACTGAAAATATGAAGTTGAACCAAACAGAGTTTGAGCGACAAATTTGGATATAGAACATTTGGGGTTCATTTGTAGGAGACTTCAATCTTATATTAACATATTTTTAAATTTTATTATAATATACAAGTTAAAATTTAAATTTATACTTGTGAGATGCTTTTTGTGAAATAAAATTGTGAGATTTTCAGGTTAAAGCGGATAATATCTCATAGGTTAGGTACGGGTTTCTACAAACTTAATATGTTACATCTCAAATCCAAAAATTCAAAACGTAACAACGTCACATACTCATGAGATAAATCTTACAAACATGCAAGCCAATAGATATCATACTAATCACACTCCAAAAGGTATTCGAAATTTATAGTTTACAAACCTAAGTTTTTGAAATTCACATGTTACATTGGATCGAAAAATACAATAATATTCTAATTTTATTATATCAAGGTACTCATATTACAAGCTATATGATGACAAAGGATAGATAAAGTCTCGTAATATAATCTCATGTTAAAACTAAGCCCCAAAAATACGAATATCAAAAGCTGAAAAGTAAAAAAAATTAAAAGAATGAGTACGACAACTCAATAAGTAACTGACATCCTTTTAGTTGGATTAAGCATGTCACAAAACATTTAGGCCAAAACATTAACTAAGTGACTTGAAAATATTTTGGGTAATCTTGTTTTTAAACACATTTTCACAAATCATATTTTGAAAATCAGATTCTCAAATTACAAAGCGAAATAAATATCACAAAATTATAAATTTTATTAGTCTCCCGTAACATACTAAATCACACTTAACCTCTATGGTATATGTCAAAATCAGGACTTCCCATTTAGTGTAATAGGACAAAGATATATAAAAAAACTAGATGGTTGCACTGAATAGTCATAATTAATCCGTTAGTGCAATGGGACATAACAAAGATCACAATAATCCTTTTAGTGCAATGGGATAGAAGTATATCACCGATGGTACGATGAATAAAAATCATTATTCTTAACCAATGGCATAGTTCAAAATTGATATCGATATCACAAAATACATATTGATATGGCCAACAATTAACCCTCATTGACAGGGTCAGAACATAATCATAATAGGAGACAAAAACCAAAATATATTTTCAAATTACCCAACATATACAATTCAATATTTATAAATTTTTTTAAAATAGAATTCATACAAAGTAAATTCCATAATCATTACAAAGCAAAATTTTATATTTCGATAAACGATGGATATATAAATATATTATTATGAAATCATATTCGAAAATCAAAACAATATTAAAACATATTCCAAACTTATAACAAAGAAATCATATATATATATATATATTTTACATGCTCAACTTGATTTATGAAACAAATGGATAAAACAAAATATATTATATATTTTCACTCTAAACATATTAAGACTGATTTTTAGGAACATAATAATCGAAGGAATATTAAGTTACTTACTTGATAGGCTAAACAGAAATTTAAGTAACGAATCATTCAATTATCTTAATATCCTAATAATTCAAGAAATATTCAAAAATTAGAATTTAACCCAAAAATATAAATTTAACAAGGTAAACATTTTGTAGGTCATTCTAAGCAAATTGGGTTGTGTAGTAACTTTCATGACTAATCGAAACTATTTGAAAATATTTTTAGCACATTAAAATAAATTTTCTTTTAATATAGCAAAATACGTAAAATTGAGTATAAATATGAAATTAAGAATAAAAAACACAAAAATCAGTAGCAATTTAAATTTTTATAATATTTAATTTTAACATTTAACATAATTTTTTTAAAATTTAAATATAATTTAATAGCCATTTAACAATACTAATAACATGAAATTAACACAATAAAAATATATTAAAATAAGTAAAAATTTATTAAAAATAATATAACTCAAATTAAGTAATTTATAACTAAATACATCTAATATTGATTTAAAATAATTTTTAAAATAATTAAAAACAAAATTTTTTATATTCTAAAATTTTTGTATTTTTTGATTATTTTACTTATTTTGAGTTACAAAATCTATAATATCGTTCTTAGTGACAAAAGAAAGCAGTAATTTAAAGTATGAATGTAATAGTATAATTTAGAATTTCGTTTCGGCAAAAATGATTTTCAAAAACCTAAGTTTCAAAGGCTAAAATTTTACAAATTATCACAAACAATTCGAATTTTTTTAATTTCAGATTCATGAAATTTATTTTAGGGTTTTGATTCTCTTAGCATATAAATTATTTGAACAAAACAATTATACCAATAGAAGTTCATATTTCGTACTATCCAAAGTACCTAAAGTTTGACAAAATTGACTAGCAGAGTAAAGAGTTTCGACAACTCAAAATTGAAAATTTATAATTATCAAAAACCTAAAAATAAAAAATTTTAAACATTTAATTCTTTTAAATTACTTAATTTGCCACGCATAACTTTAGAAAAGATCTTATTGGTACCTACAATTTCATTATATTGTCACCAAAAAATCTTCAGAATTATTTTGAAGATGAAAAAATACATCAATATAAGTTGAGGGTGTAGAAAATTACACAAAACATAAAAATTTTAAGAATTTTAAGTAAAATCTTACCTAAATTAGAGATTTCTATGATTGATTTACTCTTCCTCTTCCTCTTCCTCTCTTTTTTTTTTTTTTTTGAAGGTTTCTTCAATTTTTTTTCAAAGAAAAACTATTGATAAATCTTTTTTATTTTTTTTCCTTTATTATTATTATTTTTTACCAATGAACGGTCAGGTTATAGTTATTTGGCTAGGGTATTACAATTTAAAAACCACTTGAAAAATTAACATTGAGAGGCATATGGATTGATATGTAACAGTAGTAAGATTTGACCAATTTTCCTTTCTTTTGAACGTTCAACAACAACAAACAAAAAAAAGTCCATTATTCCTTCAATTTATTATTATAAAGAAAGCTTTAGGTCTAAACTACTATCTTCCCCTCCTTCCTTGGTTTCTTTTTCTTGTTCTCTCTTCGAGGAAGGGCCTGCATCATTCACTGACAAAGGATTCTTGGACTTGGAATCCTCCATGAAATCTTCCGGTTGGAATTTTGGATTCCACATGGCAGCAACCGATTTCTCTTCCTGTTTCTTCTTCTTCTTCTCTTCTTCCTCTTTTGATCCATTTGGCACGTTTCTTAGACGATCACGCATCTCCCTTGTGCTTCTGATCAAAGCAAAGAACTTCTTTACCTTCTCTTCTTCTTCTTCATCATCACTTTCTTCTTCTTTTTCATTTTCCATTTTTCTCTTTTTTCCACACTCCATATTTTTCCTACTAGAGAGGCCACTCTAGCTTGATTCTGCTATAGTCTTTTTCTTTATTGCTTAATGCAATTAAAGATAGGGCACGAACTATATATTCAGACATAAAACTATCTACATATTGTTAACACATAAATATAAATTATGAGAAAAGGAAGAGGAAATGGGGTTGCCGTAATCACCAATTGCATGAACTGGAAACCGTGTTGTACGACCCTTTATAGAGGGTCAACACCGCGTGATGGGTCACAAAGTCTTCCACAGAAGGCCTTTAGTTGACGAGAATGCCCATGCAATTTTAACAAAGAACATAAGGAGGAATAATTAAAAGCATGGATAAATTGGTACATTAAGGTGATTTTTGGTGGGTGAGTAAGAATAATTGTTTGCGTCAGTGGCCATAACGTAATCGTAATGCTCCCACCAACTCCAAGCTGACGCCTTCTTTATGACATTTGTAATACGCCCTTTTGCTGGCGGCTCTGTTCACCCGGGGGAATCGATTAGGTCATCACGGGGACCCATCAGGCTTTGTCCTATCAGAAATACATTTTGCAATTTCTTGACTTGGTCATCATGAATGTCATTATATATTATATATATTTTAGATAGGGGCGGCGCAGAAATAGACACTGATAGAGATTTCCATGTGATACGTGAGGGAGGGGGAGGATAGGGTGTAGACTTGTTCAATATGAATAAAAAATGTTTGAATGTTATTTCTTTATTTTATTTTGATAACAGTCTACATTTAGTTCGTGTTTGATAAAAAATTTATTTTGTTTAAGTTTAATTCATTCAAATAATAAAATATTTTATATTCGATTTGTATTTCATAAAATTAAATAAATTTATTCAAAAACATTAATAGAATATGCTTATAAATATATATATATATAAATATGTTCATAAATAACAAATAAATTATAATTAAATAAAATCAAACAAATAAATCTTAAATAAACATATATGAATATAATGAAACTCTAAAATAAGATAAAAATAAAAAATATAAATATAAATTTATCATTATTATTATTAACAAACTAACATAAACAAATTCTAAACATATATAAATGATTTTTAAATAAATGAGGTTTTAACGAAGATAATTTGATGATTTTAAGGGTAGCTGTTGAAATATGGGGAAATATCTTTTGAATTACTTTAAGGATAACTACTACCACTACTACACCGCTTCCTCTTTTTCTTTCCCTCTAGTGTTGATGATAATACAAGCATTCAACAACTTAGCATTCGATCTCCCCATTTTTCGACCAACCATCCATAGGCCCAAAAAAAAAAAAAAAGCCAATCAGACTAATGACCATGACATCGGGCATTTCATAGTATAATGCCGATTATAGTAACTTCGTTTGATATAAAAAAAAATCTCATTAAAGAAAACAGAGGACAGTCCATGTAGTGATCATTCAAAAGGCAGTAGGGTTATGAGAGTCCAGAACCTACTTTCAAATCCTTTAATGGATATAACAGGGCAGCAGAGCATCGTTTATGAAACCTGCTTAAATAGCTGCCTTGAGCAGAACAGAACAGATATACATTGAAATAAATACTCACCTTTCCTTCTCTCGGATTACAGACAACACTATCAAAGTAAATATTGGTTTCCATCCACTATGGATGTTACAATCTGTTGCCATATATAGAAATAGGTTTTGATGTTTGGACAGTTGGGAGGATTATGTCTACATCTGCTTTTACATGACATAGTAACACAACACAGGCATACAACAAGAATATATTGCATAAATAAGGAAACCATAAGATAGTACACTTTTGCTTGTTGGTTGCCTTTTGCATCAAATTACAATCCAAGAAAAGGACATTGCTTTCTTGCATGCTCCGGAATCAATTTCACCAATATCTCTACTGGAACACCCTTTAGTTCTGATGGACACAACACCACCATTAAATAATAATAATAATAATAATAATCAATCCTACATCTCAACGAGAATCAATAAGCTTATTATAAAGAAAATGTTGCTGAATCAGTTTGTACCATGAGATTTAAAGTTAAACAATGGCGGAAGGATGCGGCCATTAGGCAGGCGTGCATTTGGATCACGCAACTCGTCAAAGAAAGGATGGATCAAGGCATCCAACTGCAACATAAGTAACACTTACAAAATGAGATGCATGAAACAAACCAAAGAATTATATATCTCAGCAACCCTGATAATTTTAACTCTTCTATCATCTCCTCCCCCCCCCATCCCCCCAAAGAAAGAACAACAGAGAGATAAAAAGAACACATTAACCTTCCTATTCTCTGCTTGCATAATTAACGCCTTTGGAAAGAGTTGACAAACACACAAAAAACCCAGATAGATACTGAATTTTAAATTATCATTAACCTAGCCCAGGGACTTTTCCCTCAACTGATATTTTCAACTCCCTTTTTTGTCAGGAAGGAACCTCCAAGCTTGAAATTTACTCCAAAAGTCATACACAATACAACTTGAAGGAAAAGCACAAAGGAAATAGATGAAGCATAATAAATAATTTAATATTAAGATTTTATATACTCACAGCACTGCAACGGAGATTAGGAGAGTATTGGAGTAACCTTGACACCAAATCAACAGCTTCAGGAGGCATACGCCTATGGAATATCTAGAACAACAACAACAATAATAATAATAATAATATTTGCATGATAAGGTTATGGGAGCGAAAGATCGTTTGCACACCCTTTCTTTGATTGTTAATACCTTATGCCATGGATGAGCCTTAATCTGAGGGAATTTGAACTCTGTATAGTGAGGGTTCATGCACTTAATTTCCTCTCGTGTTGGAGTGCCCAAGACCTAGAAAACAGTCACATATATCATAGTTAAAGAGAAATGGTCAATTTGACATTAGAAATGACTAGAAGATGCTACTATGATACCAAACATGATATATATGACAGAAAAGTGACTACAACCAATGTTATAATAGCCCAAGTACACCAACAAATGACACATCCACAGGGAATGCAGGGATTTCATAATGTTATTGTTAACAAAAGCACTTGTCGGAACAATGATAAATATATCAATTTTCATTTAGAAAATAAGTTTCATACCGTCAATGTAATCAACACAGAAAAGATATTCTTGAAATAGTATATGTACATCCACATGTATGTTATATGTATATGCATACATTGCACTAACTAACAAATTCATCAGAAATTGAAATACCTTAATAATCTCAACAAGCTGGTCAACTCCACTCTCACCAGGAAATAGAGGCTGGCAAGTAGAAAAATCTTTAATACAAAACACCAAGGATAATTTAGGGCAATAATTGCAATAATGGACCTCATATGCATAATCTTCCTACCTGTCCAAGTAACAGCTCAGCAAGGACACAGCCAGCAGACCAGATGTCAATGGCTGTAGTGTATTCAGTTGCTCCAAATATTAGCTCAGGTGCTCTATAATACCTCGAGCAAATGTAGGATATGTTTGGTTCCCCTTTCACCTGCCAAGATAATAAAGTATAAAATTGCAAGATCTAAGCAAAAATCAAAGATTGATAATTCAACAAAGAAGTTAAAGTCAATAGATATCATATCGTACCAAGACTTTTGCACTTCCAAAATCACATAGTTTAACCTGATGAGTATGTGGATTTACCTGCAGGGACAAAAAAAAACCCAAAACACCTCAATATATCACTGAATTAGCGGGTATAAGACATAACAAAGAGACTTGATAAGTTCATTCATTTTACAGATAAAGAACAGGGGTACTACATTCAACCAGCAAGGAGATATCATATCGCAATAGAAACATATATTTGAACATACCAAAAGGTTTTGCGGTTTAATGTCCCTATGACACACACCAATGCAGCGATGGATGTAAGACAAGGCCCTAAATATCTGCCAAACATCAACTTTTATTAGCACCTCAACCAAGTTTCAATTTAAAAACTCAGGTGAAACCAAAATTTGAAAAACCAACACTGTACCTGGTATGTATAAAGTTTCACATATATCAGTGGCATCCTTTGGTTCAACTTGTTATAGTGCTTGATCACGCGATGAACAGTTTCAGGTACATACTCGAGTACCAAATTAAGATAAAGTTCATCCTTTTCAGTTGTTGAAAAAAAGCAATGCTTCAAAGCTACAACATTTGGGTGGTCAAGAAGACGCATTGTTTGCAGCTCACGGTTCTTGTACCTCTTATCTTGAAGAACCTTCTTTATAGCAACAGTTTCACCAGTTTCTAAGCACTTTGCCTAAATTTAAAAGAACAAAAGAACATCCATTACTAAACTACAAATGAGGATTAGCATGTTATTCCAACTTTTAGGAAACAAACAAGATTGTTACCTGGAAGACAACTCCAAATGATCCATTTCCAACCACTCGTTCAGCCATGTAACTTATTGTCTGAAATTTCAGACAGATAGTGTTATAAGAGAAGAAAATGACATTTGATGATATTTTGAAAGAAAATGGGGGCAAAGGATTAAAAACTTGCACTGTTCACTTATAAAAATAGCATGATGAGACAGAATAAAAATACCTGTTTTGGCTGACCATTTCTACCACCAATAGTTGTCACAATTATATGCCCTGTCTCTGTTCCATTACCATCCACAACCGTATCTTCCATTTCCTACAAATTTAAGACGATCCACGAGTTGCAGTTGCTTTTTTTTTTTTTTATGAAAACTAGTTGCATGTTTGGTAGTATTAAGTTAATAAATGAGAAAAATGGCAAAGATTAAAAAAAAAATCAAACAAAGAAATGCAAACTTTGTCATCTCTAATTTTCATGTCATTCATCTCTTCAGGTAACTTGTCAACACCAGCAGCACTAGATTCTCTTAAACCAGACGTAGGCACCATGCCCACGGAAGCCATCTGTAGGACAAAAAAGTGTCCTAATCCAGTTAATATTCCACCTCAAAAGCCAATCATTTATCTACAACACCAAAGGGAAAAAAAGATGTTAATAAACTCAACTGTGATATTGCTATTATGCTACAACAATCTCCATTTTCCACAACCCACATTAACTGCAAACAACCTTAAAAGTTATAATATACCCAAAAACAAGCAAGGGGAACTAAGCCCTTTGACCTATGTAGCAGTTCAAGGTTTGTAAAATCGCTTAACCAGTTTCAAAACCAAAAAAAAAAAAAGAATTCAACAGATACCTTTATTAAATTCAAAAAACCAACTACAACAGTTTTAAGTCAATCAAAGCACAAATCTTTTATCTTATATATATTAGGAAATCCTCATATCTAGGCTAAATAATGTCTTCAAGATATCAAGAGTTCCTCATTAAGTCAAAAAAGAGCTAGCCCAACTTAACAAGCTAAAATACCAAATAAAAGGAAGCATAAAATGTTTTGACAATTTCATTAATTACAAGCACATATTGTCAACTTTTTTGGTGGGTGATTTCAGGGTATGAATACAGCTCATAATTAAGAACTTATCAAGAAAATTCACATCAGCAACAAAGAAAAATTCTTTCCATTTAAAAACTTTCTTAAGTTTTATACATACAGAAAAAAAAAAAAAAAAAAAAAAAAGACAGAGGGACTGAGAGATCATTCCTTAGAAGGAAACAGAAAAAAAAAACCATCTTCGGTCAATTCCTCAATAATAATCAAAAGTAAATTTAAAAAAAAAATTACAAAAATAAAGATCTCAAAGGTAAAATTCAACCACAAAAAAAAAACAATCTGATTTTTTTATATAAAATAAAAAGACCAACCAGGGGATCCAAATCTGACGACGACTACGAAAAAGATTGTAACAAAACCACCGATTCAAACAAATTTAAGAAAAAACGCAGAAAGGCATCGATTATATATTGCATATAAAAAAGAAAAAAAAGAAAAAAAAAACAACAAGAGGGGGAGCATCAGAAGATTATATACCTATCGATTGAAACAGGAAATTGAGAAGATGGTGGAGGCGACGCAGAGGATTGAGCGGGATAGCGTGAACGAGGAGGGAACAGAAAGGGGAAGAGAAAGGGGTTAAAAATGTTGGTTGGTCATATTATTTCAGCTTTCCATTTTGGTTTTCTTTTTTTTTCTTTTTTAATTAAGTACTTGGACAGTCAACGACGAGAGGGGAAACAGGCTTTGTTTTGTTGTGTTGTTGTGATTTGTGATAAAGAAAGGAATAAATAATTGTGGAATTTTGGTTGAGAAATGAGTGGTTTTCTCTCTGTTTTGACCATTCAAACTACAAAGACCAAATACAATCCATCTGACTCTGCCTGTCTCTCCAATATTATTATTTTTATAAAAAATTTATGGTTGATATTATCTTATTAAATTTGATCGATTTATACGTTATTATTATAATATTAGATAATATTATTAGAATTTTATCACTTTAAGAGTTTAAAATTAAAATTATATCAATTGTCAGAACTTTGATCGTATTATCTATCGCTGTGTACAGAAATCACAAATTATATTAGCCCACCTCAGATGAATGCACTCCCATCCAACACATTATTAATCACTTAAAAGGAAAAATCAACTTACTAAAACTTAATCCATATTTACTGTTTCTTCCCTTACATAGTATAGTATAGGATAGTAGTAGATGTATACATAATATTACTATCACCTCCTCAATCTAACCTTGTAAATATGTAGTGACATCAAACTTTGGATTTGGGCCTTGGAGACATAATTTCCAACAAAATCATAGTAATTCACGTGCTTCTTCTCTTTCTTTCTTCATCTTTTCACCGTTGCCATCATCTTCTCCGCATCCTTTTCTTTCTCTATATCTATTTCTACGTCTGTTATACTAATAATTCTTATCCTCAAAAATTATCTTATCCCTTCTGCATCTGATCCTCCTTCATCATCTAATAATAAATCTGATCATTTTTCTCCTTGTCTTTCCGTGTCTTCTTCATTCACTCAGATGATATCCTCAGAGATTCTTCACCTCAAACCAATGTTCTTTACATTTCAATCTTAGTTCTATGTAACTGTTTCTTCTTTCAATTTCTTTTTTTTCAATAAAGTTTCCGAATCTTATTTCAATTTTTTTTTCTCTCTTTATGGGTGGTGAAACCGAGGATCAGCTGCTCCATGTTGGAAACCTGATAAATGGGTTTTGGAATTTAGCTTTTGTTATCAGAAAGTGGAGGATTTCTTAAAGCCAAGATCTTTCCTTGCAGGTTATTGTTTTCCATTAAAATTTCGAGTTTGAATATTGTTCTATGATTATTGTGTTCTAGTGAATTCAAAGCTAATATGATTTTAGAATTTGTTGCACCAGGATTCATACAGGTACAACCAACTGCTGCTTTCGCTGACGGGGACAGAAAATCATAAGCTTTTTGCTGCGAGACTGCTCTATTTAGTGCCAGAAAAACTTGTAAGAAAATAAACTCACATATGGTTTGATTTCAACTAGGTAATTTAGACAGACTGAATGCAATACCAATGTTTGCTTTGTTTCATCCAATTAATTCAGTGGAAGAACGGAAGTGTACTTTGTCAATGGTTTCGAAGATCGAGTTTTGACTTTGGAAATCATAATTTTGTTACTTCTTTCTTTAATCTTATTATTACCATTCTCTGATAAATTTAAGTGCATGTAGCATATAGCTAATTGAAAAAATTGTATTCGGGTTAACCTGGAAAGAGTTTACCTTGGGCAGAAGAATTTTGATATGACTATTGCATTCACGGACTTCAAGCGGGATGTCCTTCTGGTTGACTCAATTCCTTCCACATCATTTGATGGCATCAAAGAGTGGCTTAATACAACTGACCTCAAGTATTATGAGAGCAGACTAAATTTGAATTGGCGGCCTATACTGAAAACTATTATTCATGATCCAGAAAAGTTCATTGAAGATGGTGGCTGGGAATCTTTAAACATGGAAGTCAGTGATTCTGAGTCTGAGAACTCAGAAGAGTCTGACCAAGGGCATGAGCCTTCAGATGATGAGGATGATGACAGTTAATCATTGGTAGAATCTGAAGACTCAAAGGAAGGTGAAGGAAAGACTTGGGAAGAGTTGGAGAAGGAAGCAAGCTATGCAGACAAAGAGAAAGGAGATGATTCCAACAGTGAGGAAGAAAGGAAGAGGAGAAATACCGGCATAAAAGATGGTAGTGGCTTTTTAAAAGCCTTCGTTGGTAGGCCTGTAGGATATGTTTAATCAAGGTTTAAGTTGTTGCTTTCTATCTCTAAATCAACTTTGTTATAAACTTTGAACAGTAAAATAGTTTTGAGATTAAAATTATGGAGGTTTTACATGTAATCTTGGATGCATCTCGCTCGCACTCACTTTCATGCTGTCTTCTTAATTTTATTAACTTAAAGTGTCATTAGGCTTTTTAGCAATGCATGAGCAACCTAATTGCCTTGTCGTGAGATAAAAATGCAACAACGATAAACTGCAGAAACAACAGAAAAGTTTAATTAATCAGGTTCTAGTAAATGTTCTCTGCAAGGTAGCCTTGTAAGGATAAGGGAAATTGCCACTAGGCATAAAACAACTCAAGTATCAAAAGATAAAACACATTGCAGTTAAGTCCAATAGCAAAGGACAGGAACATCAGAGCACTCGGCCAGCAATGCACCACCATGCATCAAATTATGGCTCTAAAAGTCAAAATACAGGGGACCCACAATGACTCTTTAAGAGCAAGAAGCACAAGTAAGAAAGAATATTAATGGAAAGGAATGTAGTTATAACTTATAAGTTATTTAACTAACGCTTCTCTTATACCTTCCAGGCTTTTTGATGCCATTGGGCACTTGCATGATTAAGGATGCTTATTTTCTTGGCTTCAATTCATGAGACTGAGAGCCTCACAATATCCTGGAGGATGTAACTTGCAAATTAAGCAGTCTAGACGGCACTCTGCCACATTTAGAAACATCACATCAGAACATGGTTACCGTATAGATGAAGTTAAAAAATAAATAAATAAATAAAACCCTCATGTTTTCACTTTCAAGTTAAATGTTATGCGGCAACCACACACACCCACCCACCCACCATAATCCGTAAAGCCAAAAAAGCATTCCAAGACGTGAATCTCTTCTCAGAACAAGTAATATGGCACACTGATTTTGTAAATCCAGTCCCAGAAATTTGAAAAATAAACAAAGCAAAAATTCAATAGAGGAACATAAACAGACGAAATAATAAAACTTTCACTCCCATTGAACTGTTGCCACCAATTTACAACCAAAATCTTTCCTCTAGACAATCCAACTTAGTGCCTAACTGCTTAAGAGAAAGGAACAAGATCCTAATATGGAAACAATAAAACCACAGTTCAGAGCTATGTTAGAAAACTACATTCTTCTAAAGCACCAGCTACTACTAAAATCATGTTTAAACAATAATAACAAACTCACAAAGTAATTGAAAGAAATACTATCACATCTATCTTAGCTTGGACCGTTTGGGGATAGCACTACTAGGAGGAGCTCGAGATTTCCCAACAGTCTTCATTTTCCTTCTCCTCCTATCCTCCTCACTGTCTGATTCATTCCCTTTCTCCCTGTCAGCATTGCTTGCTTCCCTCTCCAACTCCTCCCACGTCTTTCCCTTTTCTTCTTCCGAGTCATCCTCAGAATCTTCCTCTTCTTCATCCTCAGATTCAACCAGTGACTCACTATCAGAGTCATCATCATCTGACTCAGATTCAGACTCCAAATCAGATGGCTGGTAACCCTGATCTGACTCCTCTGAGTTCTCAGAATCTGAATCACTAGCTTCTAAGTTCAAAAATTCCCAACCCCCATTTTCTATGAAGCTCTGTGGATCATCAGTAATTGTCTTCAGAATCTGCCGCCAGTTCAGATTCAACCTGCTCTCATAATACTTAAGGTCTGTAGTATCAAGCCATTCCTTGATACCATCAAGTGAGGTTGAAGGGATGGAATCAATCCTGAGTACGTCTCTCTTGAAGTCCTTAAACACAATGGTCATGTCAAAATTTTTCTGCCCAAGGCCAACTCTCTCCAGGTTCACAATCTCAATCTCACTTAAGGTGACCACAAGGAAAGGAGTCTCTACCAGCTCAACCAGACAGCTCGAAGTCGGCACAATAAAAGCTGAGGCTTTGTAGGGGACCCCATGGAAGCCAAGCTCTCTAAGAGGCTGATCAAACTCAAGATCAAGACCATTAAACTGAGGCTGCCCCCAGAGATCATTCACCCGATTCACAAAACTCTGAAAATCCATGTTGATCTTATTCTTCCGATCCCTCTCCCTTTGCTCTTCTTCAATCTCATCAGGATCGTAAGCAGACCTCTTTCCCCCTCCCAATGTTTGGACTACGTCCATAACCTCAACATAAAATTGCACATCCTTAGTTTTTTTGTTTCCCACCATTATGTGGTTGTGCAGATGGAAGTGAAGAAGGGTGATCATCTCTTTCTCTGCAGGCTGGAAGAACGCATGCTTTATGTTTCCATACATAATGTCAACACGCTCATCAGCCCTAGTAGTAGAATAACGAAAGCCATTAACATGAGTTTCAAGTGTTCCTGGAATTTTTCTGCCACGACCACCAAAAACAGGACGAATCCAAAGGTCAGATAACCTTATAGGCTTGAACCTGTTCCCCGCAAGTTGGAGTTTCTCCTGAGTAACCAAGGTTGCTCTCTCAGCTTTCTCAGATTCCCTGGCCACGACATGCCGACGAAGTGTTTTAATCTGCTGTACCACTTCACTTATGTGCCTTGGTTCCTTGGAGCGAAATGAGACTTCTTTTAGATATATTGCCCCTTGATTCTTTAAAGAGTTTGAATCATGGGGACTAAAAGGAGTCCCCGGAACATTAAATATAATCCGGATAAAGCAATTTCGATTGGTATCCTGCTGGCTGGAAACTGTCCTTACAGTAGCCACATGAAAGGGTACCATGCTACCATATATTGGCAAGAGCACAGCCTCATTCTTTTGGTCAACTTGAATCATAAAATCTTTTCGGGGGGGCAGGTCATTGACATTCTTATAGGCAATCAAATCAGCCGACGTCTTTGCAACTGCTCGATTGTATCCACCTGCAGTTCCACCCGCAAGTCGCCTAGCTGTTTCTTCATTCTTCTGACGAGCAAGTTCTGCTTGGTGCTGCCTCCTTAACTCCTCCTTAGAGACCTCATGATTATCCGACCTGAGCACTGTCTTAGACATGAAGGGGACAGTGCCATTAGTTTCAGCCCTCATAGACTTTTCTTCTTCTTCTTCATCCTCATTGAATGAGTAAGCTACATCCTTAACAGCCTTGGAACTTTTTCCAGTCACCACTTCCATATTTTGTTCACCAACAATAACTGTATCAGCAAGTAACAGTGAAAAATTCTTTTTCTTAGGATTATTACTTTCACACTGCAAGTTCTGAAAACCAAGTGACACATTGAAAACCATTCCTGCTTTGACCACACGATCATTCTTCGCATTGAGATTGAACCCTGACTCACGAAACTCAAGACCGATTCCTGTCCCAGCAGATTTTGTTAAATTTGGGATCAAATCAGGAGCATCCTTCTCAACAACTGAAAGTGCTGCTTGATATGCAGCACTAATTCTGCTCCCAGGTTTCAACACACCAGTTGCAGCTTCATGGGCCTTAAGAAGAACCTCATATGCCTTGCTCTGAAGTGCAGTAGCATCAATCAAGAAAGTCCTAGCAATATTGGAGCAATAACTGTTATAGCGAGCTCCAACTGCACATAAGATAACACTGGCAGAATCATAATACAGATTCTCTTCATTACTTGCAGCACTAGGTCTGAGATCAAACTCACCCCCACTTTGAAATATGGGAGGATAACAAATGTCAACATTCTCGGGCTTGAGCTTTACTTTGGCCAGCTGTGGATTCACTATGGCTTTCTCTGTTTCATCCATCAAAATGGCATGAGTTATTTTTTTTTCCTCATCAATTACATTCTCAAGCCTTGGAACCACAATATTGTTCATCACATTGTAACTTAAATAAGCAGCCTTCTTCACATTCATAAGCTCTTCTTTGTCCTTCACAGCAAACAGGTCAGACAACCCATTGGTTACGTCAGTATGCTGAAAGCCAGCGCTTTTTAATTTTTCAGCCCATGTTTCTAAAAGCTTTCCTTCAGGAGCCTCTCGAGCTATGTAGCCAAAAACAGGAGCATCATTTTCAGATCCCTTGTATTGTGCTCTGACGGACCGAAATATAGTATCCATAGATGTAGTTCCATCATCACTCTTTGCTTTCACATGCATCACAGCATCAACCCCCACAGCCTCTTTGGCAGATTTCTTCACAACTTCAAGCAGAGACGCCTTCTTCTGGCTACACAAGAAATGAATTTGCCTCTTCATGAAAACCATTATTGTCTCTGGAAACTCATAACCAAGCAACCAAATGTTTAGAGCTGACGATTTCAGGTAACGCAAATCTTCGGAAGGTGGTGGCGTTGCAACTGCAAAAACATCAGAAGAACCCCAAAGCTCAGCTTTGTGTTCACTCCAGTGCGAATACAAAGCCTTCAAACGTTTACTAAAGTTGTCCAGATTAATAGAGTAAATACTTCCTGATCCAGGAGCTGTCCCATTAGGAGGCTGGCCATTTGCATTCCGATGATCAGCCATTTAGAAGCTATTCTGCATAAGAAAGTAGGGTTAATAATAACCAATAGTTAAAGGTGATTAAAGAATAAAATGTACGTATAAAAAGGAGGGAAATGTATAACTAACAGTTAAAAACCAATTGAAAAAAAAAAAAAAAACTTGAATATAGGGTTCTGTTAGCTTTTGAGGAACCTGAAAACAATTAGGAAACTAGAAAAATCAAAGAAATAAGTGCAATATGCTAACATTTCTCACCTTCATGAATAAGCATTCAAGAAACTCAAACTGAAAACCGGCAATTCTAAGTTCGATTAAACTTAGGTTTCGCAAATTAAGAGTGGCATACGGATAAAACCTAGGTTTACATCTCTAAAATACCTATACAAACTGTCTTAATACTTCAACTTGACGCCATATGAAACTTAAATTCAAATGAAAATTAGGGTTTCAAATGGTTCCACATTCTTAATAAATACTCAAGATTGAAGGAAAAGAATGAGAAAACTCACATTTCAAACTCTGCTAACAATCTACTTCAATTTTCAGACGGAGAAGCCCCGAACTTTGAAGGCGAATTGGGCGTCTTGGCTCTGTGGCGGCCTCAAACTAACTTGGAAAGCGAAACTAGGGTTAGGGTTTCCAAGAGAGCAACAGAAATAGAGAGAGTTCAAAATT